AACGGCGTGTTTTTTTTTTTTTTTTTTTTTTTTTTAACCTCATCAGGGCCGAGGTCCCACGAGCAAGAAGGATAGGATCGAGCTCCTGAATCTGGACGTGTGTTTTATGCAGAGATGCAGAACAGCAGTTCAATCTCGATTTTCTGCACATCTCCGTACCCTCGTCCAGATTCAGGCATTCGATCCCATCCTCTTTGCTAGTGGGACCACGCCCCAGCTGTGTCATAAACCGGGCCGCCCGGGTCACCTGGTTTGGCCGGGCCGCTCGGCCGGGCAAGGACCAGAGAAGGTCCCTGAAAAAAAAAAAAAAAAAAAAAAAAAAAACTTGTCAAGAAAAATAAACTGAGCAGTTTTTGCCTCAAGGTCGAACCGAAATTCTTTGCGAAATAAGAAATAAAAAATAGAATTAAACAATTTTATTTTATTTTTTGTATCTTTTTCTCCCCGTCTTGGCCCGGCCGGGCAAGTGGTCCCGGCCCACTGTGGTAAACATAGCTCAGCTCATCAGAGTTAAAAGTTAAAACTAGTTAATAAAAAAACAAAAAAAAAAACAAAAAAAAAAACAAAAAAAAAACAAAAACAAAAACAAAAACAAAAACAAAAACAAAAAAAAACAAAAAAAAAACAAAAAACTAGTTAATAAGGTTGGAATTGAGGTGACGGCCTAAGACTATCCTGAAGCTGAGGGCATAGTACTCGCACTACGACTTTCTTCTACTAAGCTCTGCACGTGATTGCCGTCAGATTCATCCAGGTCTGTGTGGCTGTAATTGCGGTCAGAGACATTTAGAAAGGTCCTTGTGTGAGTAATACTATGTCCTGACCGAAGTTCAGCTGTGGTTGTTTTCCAGATTAAAAGAAGGGTAAGTTTCAAAAATAGCGCCTTTGTTTTGGCGGTAGTTTCCCAGCAAAAATAGTGAGGGGTCCAAGTTTCGTTGCAAAAATACATCTTTTTTTATTTCTTTTTTTTTTTTCCAGTGAACAGTTAAATTCATACATTGCAAACAATAAAAGAAAAAACACATCTTTCGTCGCGCCGGACCCAGTTTCCAGCAGGTGATGCTCCCCACCAATAGATGGAGATGTTTTTTTCCCCAAAAAAAAAAAAAGAAAAAAAAAAAGGTACAAGTTTGGCTAGGTCCTGTGGTACAGCTGCAACGGAGAAGAACTATTGTTGTATCCTCCGAGTCGGCAGTCGGGATAGTAGGTAGCCTCTCCATCCCAACTTCTTACTACTAGTTCGTACTAAAAGTCGATCGTAGAGTCTGACGGACGGACGGACGGCTAAGAAGTCAAGCCACCAAATTTTCAGTGGCAGCTTCACACCAAACTGTTGCATACCGTATAGGCTGTCTCTTATACACATCTAGATGTGTATAAGAGACAGGAACTATTGTTGTATCCTCCGAGTCGGCAGTCGGGATAGTAGGTAGCCTCTCCATCCCAACTTCTTACTACTAGTTCGTACTAAAAGTCGATCGTAGAGTCTGACGGACGGACGGACGGCTAAGAAGTCAAGCCACCAAATTTTCAGTGGCAGCTTCACACCAAACTGTTGCATACCGTATAGGCTGTCTCTTATACACATCTAGATGTGTATAAGAGACAGGAACTATTGTTGTATCCTCCGAGTCGGCAGTCGGGATAGTAGGTAGCCTCTCCATCCCAACTTCTTACTACTAGTTCGTACTAAAAGTCGATCGTAGAGTCTGACGGACGGACGGACGGCTAAGAAGTCAAGCCACCAAATTTTCAGTGGCAGCTTCACACCAAACTGTTGCATACCGTATAGGCTGTCTCTTATACACATCTAGATGTGTATAAGAGACAGGAACTATTGTTGTATCCTCCGAGTCGGCAGTCGGGATAGTAGGTAGCCTCTCCATCCCAACTTCTTACTACTAGTTCGTACTAAAAGTCGATCGTAGAGTCTGACGGACGGACGGACGGCTAAGAAGTCAAGCCACCAAATTTTCAGTGGCAGCTTCACACCAAACTGTTGCATACCGTATAGGCTGTCTCTTATACACATCTAGATGTGTATAAGAGACAGGAACTATTGTTGTATCCTCCGAGTCGGCAGTCGGGATAGTAGGTAGCCTCTCCATCCCAACTTCTTACTACTAGTTCGTACTAAAAGTCGATCGTAGAGTCTGACGGACGGACGGACGGCTAAGAAGTCAAGCCACCAAATTTTCAGTGGCAGCTTCACACCAAACTGTTGCATACCGTATAGGCTGTCTCTTATACACATCTAGATGTGTATAAGAGACAGGAACTATTGTTGTATCCTCCGAGTCGGCAGTCGGGATAGTAGGTAGCCTCTCCATCCCAACTTCTTACTACTAGTTCGTACTAAAAGTCGATCGTAGAGTCTGACGGACGGACGGACGGCTAAGAAGTCAAGCCACCAAATTTTCAGTGGCAGCTTCACACCAAACTGTTGCATACCGTATAGGCTGTCTCTTATACACATCTAGATGTGTATAAGAGACAGGAACTATTGTTGTATCCTCCGAGTCGGCAGTCGGGATAGTAGGTAGCCTCTCCATCCCAACTTCTTACTACTAGTTCGTACTAAAAGTCGATCGTAGAGTCTGACGGACGGACGGACGGCTAAGAAGTCAAGCCACCAAATTTTCAGTGGCAGCTTCACACCAAACTGTTGCATACCGTATAGGCTGTCTCTTATACACATCTAGATGTGTATAAGAGACAGGAACTATTGTTGTATCCTCCGAGTCGGCAGTCGGGATAGTAGGTAGCCTCTCCATCCCAACTTCTTACTACTAGTTCGTACTAAAAGTCGATCGTAGAGTCTGACGGACGGACGGACGGCTAAGAAGTCAAGCCACCAAATTTTCAGTGGCAGCTTCACACCAAACTGTTGCATACCGTATAGGCTGTCTCTTATACACATCTAGATGTGTATAAGAGACAGGAACTATTGTTGTATCCTCCGAGTCGGCAGTCGGGATAGTAGGTAGCCTCTCCATCCCAACTTCTTACTACTAGTTCGTACTAAAAGTCGATCGTAGAGTCTGACGGACGGACGGACGGCTAAGAAGTCAAGCCACCAAATTTTCAGTGGCAGCTTCACACCAAACTGTTGCATACCGTATAGGCTGTCTCTTATACACATCTAGATGTGTATAAGAGACAGGAACTATTGTTGTATCCTCCGAGTCGGCAGTCGGGATAGTAGGTAGCCTCTCCATCCCAACTTCTTACTACTAGTTCGTACTAAAAGTCGATCGTAGAGTCTGACGGACGGACGGACGGCTAAGAAGTCAAGCCACCAAATTTTCAGTGGCAGCTTCACACCAAACTGTTGCATACCGTATAGGCTGTCTCTTATACACATCTAGATGTGTATAAGAGACAGGAACTATTGTTGTATCCTCCGAGTCGGCAGTCGGGATAGTAGGTAGCCTCTCCATCCCAACTTCTTACTACTAGTTCGTACTAAAAGTCGATCGTAGAGTCTGACGGACGGACGGACGGCTAAGAAGTCAAGCCACCAAATTT